TCCTAGGTGGGATATTCTCCACGTAGTCTGATGGAGACAGGACGGTACGCGGCGTGAGAGGCCTTGAGCGCTTCGGTGTCTCACAGATAGGAACGGGCGAAGGTGTCCGCGGGGTGCTAGGCCTCTTGAAGAGAGTTGGAGACGGAGTCCGCGGAGTAGGAGAAGGAGTCCGAGGATCTGGAGACGGCGTTCGAGGAGCAGGAGGCGGAGTCCGTGGGTCTGGAGAGGGAGCCCGTAGAGTCGGAGAGGGAGTTTGTGGGACCGGTATCTTTTCCGACTCGGCGTGCGTTCGTCGTCGCTTTAGATACTGGTCCAGAGGTATCGGCCGTGTCTTCCTCTGGACCGGTAGCCAGTCGTCCTGTTTCGGCGGTGTTGGCCTTTCGGACTTCCACTGGCGTGACCGCTTGCTCCTGGAATCAGTGTCTATAAAGAAGGTACAAAGTTAGTTCTCGATATGCTACTTCGAGTCTATGCGTTTTACGCAGATTTCCACTCACGGTGCAGCGATTTACGCTTTGCTGGCGAAACCATGGCGCCTTGAAGAAACAGCGATCTAGCGCTTGCTGTGCGGCTCGGGCGCACGAGTAGAGCGACTTGGCGCTTTGGAAATCGAAGTGGAGCGACTCGGCGCTTTATGTTCCCGAAGGAGAGCGACTTAGCGCTTTATCGAAGTAGAGCGACTCAGCGCTTTATCGAAGTAGAGCGACTCAGCGCTTGTATTCCCGAAGGAGAGCGTCTCAGCGCTTGTATTCCCGAAGGAGAGCGACTAAGCGCTTATATCGTCGAAGTAGAGCGACTCAGCGCTTGTATTCCCGAAGGAGAGCGTCTCAGCGCTTGTATTCCCGAAGGAGAGCGACTAAGCGCTTATATCGTCGAAGTAGAGCGACTAAGCGCTTTATATTGCGTCCAGGGCGCAAGAGACAGCGGCTAGCGCTTGTACGTGGCGACTGAGCGCCGAAGTGAAGTGAAAATGCTCGCATTTTCCTCCCTTATATCCTGGTACTCACCAAATCTTACTCCCGAGAGACTGCGCGGCGTAGCGGCGGCGCCGCGAACTAGCGCGGCCGCTCCGCGTGGGGCTAGCGCCAGGCGCTTACGTTGGGGGCCGGGCGCCCTGTGCTACGCGTCAGGTGCGCGTGACCGCGTGGTCGCAGGGGGGCCCGGCGCCTGTGGCTGCCGTAGGCCGCCACAAGATGCATGAATTGGATCGATATTGCGTATTAGTTTTCGACGAGATTTCATTAAGTCACGGTTTTCACTACGAAGCACATAAACAACAAATTTCAGGTTTTGAAGACTTGGGTGAGTTGGGTCGAACTTGTAGGGCAGCAAATCATGCTCTTGTTTTAATGATACGTGGTCTAAGAAAATCATAGAAGCAAGTAATTGCTTATTACTTCACTACTAATACAATATCGAGCGATAATCTAAAACGTATCTTAATAAATGCTATTGGGCAATTACAAGAGATTGGGCTGAAAGTAAAAGCAGTTGTTTGCGACCAGGGTTCAACTCAGAGAAAAGCTTTATCTGAATTGTGCATCGAAAATAAAACGGATCCAACTTGTTATACGTTTGTCGTTAAGTCTCAAACCATAGTAATTATTTATGATGTTCCTCATTTATTAAAATGCACTCGAAACGCTTTGCTCCGGTGTAAAATTAGATTTGCAGAAAATAAAGTAGCTAAATTTCAATACGTTAGAAATGCTTTTGATGTTGAACAAAATTTTCCATTTAAACTTCTTTATAAATTGAAGAAATGTGATTTTAATTTTCAAGACTCTTTTGTTAAAATGAGGGTAAAAACTGCAGCGCGTCAGTTGAGTCATACTGTTGCTGCAGCTATTCATTCTTTTAGTGTTTCCAATGTTAACGGATTGTTTCCAGTTGAATCGATACAAACGGCTGAATTCGTACAACTTATTGATGATCTTTTCGATTCTTTAAATGGTTCAACAATAAATCCAGATGATGGCACAAAGTACAGATGCTGCTTACAAGATGACTCAGCTCACTTAGAGTTATATAGCACTTTACTATCAAAAATAAGTAAATGGAAATTATTCGATTTAACTACCGGAAAAGATGTCACAAATCAATATCACTTCATGAAAGGTTGGATGATAACAATCCGATCGGTCATATATTTGTGGCATCAATTAAAAGCTCTTGGTTTCAAATTTTTAAATATGAGGAATCTAAATCAAGATCCAGTAGAAAATCTGTTTTGTCAAATTCGTCAACATGGAATTTCGAATTCTAATCCCACCTGTCATCAATTTATAGCTGCCTTAAAAACCGTAATATTAAATAACCTCATCGCACCAGTTTCCAAATCTGCGAATTGTGAAAACGATAATTGTGAAAATTTGAACAATTTTCAAAAATTTTTAAGTAATACTCATCAAAGCTTTAAGGACGGCGATAGGGAACCATTAGACAATAGTAGTGACTGTAATCTTCAATGGGTCGAGTTCGAAAAATTAAACACTGATGCCTCTCAAGCTCTTTCTTACGTGTCGGGTTATCTTGTGAAAAGGCTAAAACTTCCTGATGAAAATTGTTCAAAATGTCAAACTGACTTGTTTTGTATACAACAAGAACAACATCACGTGTACACGGTTTTTAAGGAATATTCTGAAAAAGATTCATTAACGTATCCTAGTAATCAGGTGATTACGTTACTGCATAACATACACAATAGATTATATCACTTTTGTGATAAATTCGGACATCTTTTAGACTTAGAATCAGCTTTTAAAAAAGTTTTTTTTTCAAACTACAACAGTGAATTCTGTAGTAATCATCGATGTGATAATATGATCGTCGAAAATAGTATATCATTTTTAATACATAAGTATGTTAAAGATAAGAAAAAAACCGATAAAATTAACTTCGGGCCATTACGAAAAAACCAAACAATTTAAATCATTGTAATTTATAATATTTTCATTTTCCGTTTCATTCGCTTACATTTTTAGTTTATATATACCTCCAACAACTTCCTCCAATTAATATCTTATTAATTATTATAACCAAGTTTTGTTAAAATATGTTAAGTACAAGTTAAAATATGTTATGTACAAGTTAAAATATGTATTCATTTCTGTTTTGAAATAAAAATACATTTCATGTTATATATTAATTAATGTGTTTTGTGCATTCCCTCATTTATTGACAAAAATGACACTACTACATTTAGACTGCGTTCAGACATTCACTGCCAGTACTGAAAATCTATGGCGTACGGGATATACAGGGTGCTACGCAAGACTTTGACTTCCGGTCATGGGAAGGTAGAGGGGACTAAGACAAACAGAAAAGTATTGTACTATTTTGCGCTTGGACGAATAGTTATCGAGATACGAAATTTTAAAAATCGCCGTATTAGCCCAACCTGCTGGCGAATGTAAGCGCGCGGCGAGATGCGTCGGCCTAGCGGCCCCGCTCGAGGCGGTGTTCGGCGAGGAATAGAATGGCGGTGCGGGGCGAGGAGTAGGGAGGCGAGGCGCGCCGCTGCCCGTCCGCCGCTTACGCGACCGCTCGCACGTCT